GAGGAATGAAACCGGTGCGGCCCATAACCGTATCGGAAATGACTCGCGCATGGCGATTGCCGGGCAGTTGGGTGCCGATGATCGATTCTTCGGTCGCCGCGAGGATTACTCCGGTTGGCGAGGCGACGAAGTAGACCCCTTCGTCATCGATGATCTTGGGAACCGAACCTGAGGAGCCCAACGTTTCGTTATGTTTAAGAGGGTCGTTCGAGTCGACAAACCGTTGGGCATCTTCCTTGTCGCGGTTGAACTCTGGCAGGCGATCGCGGAAAACTTGCAGCTCTTCCTGAATGCTTTCGTGGGAGTAGTCTTTGCCAAGTTTGGCCTGTTTCTCAGCCATGCTGAAAATGGCATCGCGGATTTCAGGATCGGTGGCGACCACTTGCAAGTGATCTTTTCGGGTCTCGATCCACATGGTGAGGGCTTGCACGTCGGCGGCAAGCAGCGCCGTGAATTCCTGTTCGCGGATTTTGCGTAGCTCGTTCCATACCAGGTAACGTGAGCCGATGCCGAGCAAAATGATCAGCACAACCAGCGAGACAATCGCCACGGTTCGGTAAAGCTTCGAGGCCCAGACACGCACCAGCATGTTGGTTCCGGGAATGAACCGGGTAGTTGCTTGCTTGGGATGCAGCGAATGTTGAGAGGGAGCATCGGGGATATGCGTCGCGGTGACGTCCAGTTGCTGCGGGACCAGCGTGCCGAGACGCTGCGGTTGGAGCCGCTGTTCGACAAGTTCCCGCAATGCGATATCAGTGCCGCAGGTATCTTCGAGAAATGCTTCGCGAGCCGCTCCCTGGCGTCGTCGTGCTTCCGCGGCGATCTTCTGAACAACTTCGGGATCTGGCTGAGTCATGGGCTTCGTGCGTCAAGTCAGGCAAGTGGCNNAGCGAAAGCGAAAGGACCAGCATGACGAAAAAAAATAGCGTCGGCAAACGATGCCGATTTCGTGCTGTGGTTGCCGTTATGTGCGGAATGTTCGATGGCGGCACGAAAAAAGCGACTCCCCGGGGGAAGTCGCTTTCTTGTTCAGTGGCATGGTCTGTCGAACGATTTACTTTTCGACGGAGAACTTATGCACGGTCGTTTCGTGGAACGTTTCGCCTGGCTTGAGCGTTGCCGATGGGAAGTTGGGCTGGTTCGGCGTGTCGGGGAAGTGCTGCGTTTCAAGGCAGAACGCTTCGTGCTGATTCAAGCCGGCGTTTCCTGCGGTGCCGTCCAGGAAGTTACCGCTATAGAACTGAATGCCTGGCTG